AAATGGCGCAAAATTTCATGAGCAATTAAATTTCTTCCAAACGCTTTTTGCCGATCGACTATTAAGGGGCGAGACTTCTGTCGGCCGCCTTGTTTCACATTGCCCAGTCTATTGTAAACCCACTTTAAGCCTCCTTAAGAATTGGAAAAAGAGCTCTTGCGCGGACATAATGCGAAAAATCTCTTACTTCAAATATCGAACACATCTGGCGCAGTGATGAAGAGGAAAAACCTAAACTAAAATCACAAGTTAAAATATAAATGGCCATGGCTGTTTTGGTGTGTATTTTTAGCATTTTACGTGAACTCAAAAGAAATTATTACAATCTTTTATGAATATTAAAAGATCTGACCGCCAGTGTAACGATGTTATTGAAGGTGAACACAAGAGAGAGCTTTTTAATTCAGGGTAACGATTGTACGAAAAGCTGACGTCAGGCGAGTAAACGACTGATCAATTACCTGATCACCTATTTCCCAATTTTTGTCTTTTGTAATCATTTCCTGATTTAGTTTCTGGTACTAAATAACAATAAACAATTTTAGCTGCGGTTTGGCTGCACTGCTACCCCCGATTCGCTGTCTTCGCTGAGGGGAATTAAATTTATTTGCGCTCGTTTCAATTTCTAATTTGGAATCACCCGTGGCGTGGTAGCTTAATCAGAAAAAGCGCCAACTAAATTGCATAATTACTTCATTTGTTTGATGATTCCCGAGCCAACTGGGAGGTGGAGAATTGCCCCTTTGTCATGGTCAAGCTGTGGTTAGCTTTGTTCAACAAAACAGATCTACTTATTTTCGTCCCTGTTAAGGGAAAGATGAGTGAGAGGTTGGCGTCGCGGTTCTGAGAGATTTCGTCTCTCTGACGACAGATGAGCAACCAGATGGCTCCGCAAGAGAGCATGCGCAATGATCAGCCCACTCGACGCATGTGCGTCAGAGCTCGGAAACGCTGTCTCATTGAAGGTGTCAGTACGTGGCTGTCATCATTCGTGAAAAAAAAAACACGTTCTTTAACAAAAGCCGTGTAATCATGTCCTGCCTTTGCCGACTCGTTTCAACCCTTAGGCATCGTCCTCGATAAGCGGAAAATAAATTGTTCCTTTTTCCTTCCTTCAGATATTGTCTCTCTGTTTTACCCGTGAAGGACTCATTGTTTCGCTAGTTCCGCACATAGTGTTATCATTAAAATGAACTAAAATGTGAAAATGCGCCAGCAAGCTTATTTTTATTGATGACCCAGGAGCTATGAAGTGCATTCAAATGCTTTCCTGTTCACTGAGGGCAGGTGGCACTCTTTCAACAGCGCGTGCGCATTCAATCGCAGCATTGTTTATAGCATCTTACGGATTCTGAATAACGAGAAATACTTTTTTTTAAAACCTCAGGGGGAAGCATTGAGCTTAAAGGAGATTGCCAAGGGTGATTTTCTCGCTCGCTTCGAACCAGTTGGATTGCACTTACGATCCGTCGAGACTCACTATATTTTACAGTTTTGCTCCCAAGAAATCGAAACAGACTTTCACACTTTGGGTACCGAGTGCAAGATTTACTTTTTCGCAAGGCTGGACCGCAATTAATGGTGTATGTTATTGACGGTTCGCGCTAGAAGTTCGAGCACGAGAAAATTGTGAGACCTGGGCAAATTGTCTGAGAACTTACAAAGTATTAAAGAGTCGCGCTGTTGAACTCTTTAACAAGCTATAATGCAGCGCGGGCGAATGGCTATGTGGTAAATAGGTCTTTGTGCCGTATAATTCAGTTTTATTTCTTATTCGCGTGGTTTAATATTCCAGAGAAAAGAAGAGGAAATTTGGTGCTCTTCCAGACGTAATTACGATGAAAAGAGCAAGACTATAGTAGCGTATGCTTCGGCTATGTCGCTGAAGGACATTCGGTTATCTTCTCCAGAGGACCCGCGTGCCAATGAAAAGGTCGTGATTAATGTTGGTGGTACACGGCACGAGACTTACACAGGTACTCTTAAAAATATCCCTGATACAAGATTGTACTGGATCACAGAGAACAAAACACAGCTGCCGGAATACGACCCTAATACGAACGAGTATTTCTTCGACCGCCATCCGACCGTGTTCGCGCAAATTTTGAATTTCTACCGTACGGGTAAGCTTCATTGCCCCAATGATGTGTGTGGCCCGTTATTTGAAGAGGAGCTGGCGTTCTGGGGAATTGATGAGCTTCAAGTCGAATCATGCTGCTGGTTGAATTACAAAAAACATCGCGAAGCGCAAGCGAATTTGGACACGTTGGACGGGCATGATTCTGACAGAGATAGCCTTTCCGACATGGACATGACCGTGTACGGCCTGGTCGCCGAAGGTATTAGGAATAGAAATCGCTCTTTATGGAGAAAATATCAGCCTAAAATTTGGACCACATTTGAGGAGCCTTATTCATCTCGCCTGGCTCAGGTTAGTGACAAAGATCTGTATAAAAGAAAAACATGATTCTAATTTGCGCTTCATTTTGCTTACGTATTGTCAATATTGTTCAATTTTACACGAATCGCTCAAGAACTGCAGAACTCTGCTTGACGCACCTATGTGATACGTATTAGGCTTTGACCATTTTATTTATTTGAATCTTATAGCTAGAATTAGAGTCGTTTAGTATTGTGTGAAAAATATTTCGGCCAAGGTCAGTGTTATTTTGGTTTCCAAGTGACACTAGCGATAAACTCTTCGGAAGGCGCATGATTTACCACTAAGTATTTTACGTGTGTACACTCGGTAGCGACAGAACACGGCGTCTGATTAACAACCCGGTACTGCACAGTTTCTTTTTCATTTTCTCATTAATCTGAATGTGATACAAAACTGTGGTATATTTTCTACGAAGAAATTTTCGCCAATTTATCCATATAAGCGACGCGTTGCCGCTTTGTCATTATGCAATCCGCATAAAGGAGAAAGTGATCGTAAACGCTCAAAGGCGACGTGGTAGTGTTTATAGTTAATCGCTCTCAAACAAACAATCTTAAACGCGGACACTTAGGTCGCTCCAGATTAAATCCTTCTGCGGAATTATCCCGTTGATATTTCCTCTGCTTTTACGAGGATTTACGGATCAGTCACTCTGACGAAGAAGTCATATTAATAAACAATATGAGTTTGCGACCACAGAGTGAAACTGAAACCTGAATTTCAACCAAGGTTTGCGGCAGGTGGCTGGCGAACACGAAAAAAGGAAATTAATTCGAATTGAAGTTTTGCATGAAGTTTTATCGTGAAGTTTTCCAAAATGAAAGCTTCTCTGACAGTGTTTTATGTTTAAATGGAAAAATTAATGAAAATTTATGGTAAATTGGTGATTTTTTGACACAATAGTGAATTTGCACTGTAGTAAATAAACCGCTATCGCGTTCTTCATTCGGTGGTCGACATTTTCTTGAATTTTTCCTTTTAAACCCCTTCATTTCTAAGAAAAATCGTTTTCTGTGCTTGGCAAAGTGACCGCGAAATTACCGATACTTAAAGATCTTTAGTTCAATCTATTTTGAAAATCAATTTCGCTCTAACATTAACTATAGTTATAAACACGATTTAAAACCGCTTGATCACGCATGCGTGTTAGGTCGGTCATCAAAATGGGTTGAATGAAATTTAATCTGAGTCAGTTTTTGATCGTTTTCAAGTCATAAACACACGGAGCTTGTATAGAATAAATTGCTTAGTATTAAGGTAGCGTTGCTGTAACAAAATAGAAAACTATCAGCACCTGCTTCGGCCTACGCGATTTTAATTTTCTAAAAGAAAAATGAAGGTTGAGTTCCGTTGCTTAATAAGAACTGCACTTAAATAAAATAAATTATAAAATCTAAGCAGCGAAATAAGCAGTGAACAGATGTATCTACTCTTTCTCTTACGCATGTAATTAAAGTTGTGGATGTCACCATTTTATTCCAAAACGTCATGTAGTAAAGTGTGAAATTTTTCATTTATTATCTCTTAAATCTCACTAGGTTAAGCTAAATGACGGAAGCAAACCACACCATAATTTCGCGAACCTTGTTGTTATAAAAAATTGAAAGATTATGAAATATCTTCCACAATAGACACCGAGAAAAGAAATATAATATGCTGAGGTGAACATAACGTGCAGTTACACGCAGCAAAACCTCATCATTTGAAATTATACGTATTCAAGAAAAGATTGCCACATTGATTCGTTACAATTTTTTAATAGTCTTCGTTGTTAAGTGCATTTTTGTTTTTTTCATCTCACCTAGACAAGATGGAAAGGTTAAATTATGTCGTTGATTCCTTCAGGCGCTCGTCACGTCTCGTTTATAAGACCCTTCAATAACAGCTTGTTAATAATGATCGATTTCATTATGCAAAGCACTAGCTAGTCAAAGTAGAAATGGCTTCATGTCCCGCAGATTTTCTCCACCGCTAATTGTTTACAATTAGATTTAAGCCATAGAGAAATTAAAACTGTGGGTCTAATTATACCTAAGAAAAGTGGTTGCAAAGTCTAACCCAAACACTCGGAAGTAAAGGCTTAGTGTGCAGTTTGGCCGGAGAGGCAAAATTTTGCTCATTAAGGATTTAGCCTTTATTTACTTTTTTCATTTATTTAATGAGTACATGGGGTGCGTGATTTGTTTTAGAATCATAGCTGATTTTTCCAACTGTGCAGTTCAAAAATACTTCATTTAGGAGTCATTATGTAAGCTTAAAAATCTGCTAGTTAGTTAGTAAATTCTATTGTAACGGACTGATTTTATTTTTAATCCAACACCCGTAAAATGCCCAAACTAGCGCGTCCATATGGCTTAAATCCAAAACCGAGCTCTGAAAAAGGGGAAAGAATTCCCTTTATGCGATGACACTTGCCGCGAGTCGGTCTTTGCATAGCTTTTACTCACAACATCGCATAGTGGCTATTGACCCTAAACAATTGTCCGGTATGAATTTATTATGACATTCATTGTCTAACTCTATACACATCTCCCTTCAGATAAGCACAGCTAACCTGCAAACAACTAAAAATAACCCATGACATTCGCACTCGATAAGACCGGTCTGACAGGTTTTTTACAGTCCTACTTGTCATGCGCATCGCTCCCTGATCGTAGAATAAACATATACTTCCGGACATTACACGTGCTTTATCTTTAATGTCGTAAGTTCGGAACAATATTTAGGGAAATCGTGACATCAGTTTAAAAGAATAAAATACGTTGTTTGAAAGAGGAACTGTCGTGGGTAAAATGGGGAGAGATGTACGGCTGTCCGGAAACTATACCTATACAGTGGAACCCTGTTCATACGGTCACCAACGGGCCATGAAATTTGATCCTATTAACAGGGTGACTGTATTAGGGTCAATTTTCATGACTGGTCTATTTTAGTGACGTCTTGACGGATATCACAATTGCACTTCTAAACAACTGTTCTTTCTAAATAAGCATTTGAAATGCAGGTATAATTTTTAAAAAAGTTGAAACTTCAATCAGTACTGCAGTGTGTTGTCGAAGAAGTTTATTCTGCTTGTTCATACACACCCCGTGGATGTGTGTGCCTTCTAGATTTGCATAATGTGCTAGCCTACTTAAATATGCGTACACAAAATATAACATACAATAGGTGCTAATTCTCACGTGCCAATATGTTACAAGTACATACAATATTAACAATGGAAAGATGAACATAACTGGTTCGAGTGACCGTATCAACGGGGTAAAATTACAAAGGATTATACTGGTCGGGATTTCAGAAAGTGGCCGTTAGCCGTATTAATGGGATGACCGGATTAACGGAGTTTTCTTACAACAAATGTATGTGCGTTTCGCCGTGAGAGAAAAGGCTGGCCGTAATGACGAGCTGACCGTATTAACGAGGTAAACGTAAGGGCGGGGTTTCACTGTACGTCTAGCCGAGTTGCTGATCCCAAGCAGGGTCTGGGGATCTCTCCCCCCCCCCCCCCCCCCCCCCCCCCCCCCCCCCCCCCCCCCCCCCCCCCCCCCCNTCGTGAAAAGTGAATTTTTTTGTTTCGTGATTCGTGAAATCGAAAATTTACTATCGTGACTTCGTGACAACCCCCCCCCCCCCTTCCCCTCCCCCACCCTCCCAAATTTGCTAAACACGGGCGATGCTTTTGGTTACTCTCATTTCTATAACGAATGGGTCACCAGTTTTACAACACTACAACTCCAAACGACGTCATTTAGGAATAATTGTGTAAGCTCAAGAAGTCGCTAGTCAGTAAATTCCATTGTAACTAACACATGAAATGCCCAAACTTGTGTGTCAATATGCTTTAGTTTTTGCTAACTTTCATGATAGCTTTGTTTTGAGAGGTTGTGCAGAAGTTTATTTGAGCGTTTCTTCACGTAACATAGGGAGTTTAAGAAAACCACATCGGCAACGTTAATGGAAACGTCGATGTACAAAAGGTTTATAACAAGCAGTACAATGGATATGCACGTGCGTTATAATTCTTGGTACATTTCTTTGCCATCCTCTGCAAAGCAACAACGTAAAATCACAAAATTCTGCGTTGTCTGGAGAACGTGAACCAGAACGGCTTATTTTTGAAATAATTTCCTTTCGAATTTAACTTTGTGTTCCATATTCAGTTTCGAGATAGTCTTGACAATGAGAAACAAACCAAATGAGTATAGAGTATCGAGAGAGTCGTAGGTAAAATATAAATTCATTTTTTAATCGACGTTGTCCTCGACGTCGTTGTCGTGGTTACTTAAACTCCCTATTAAACTCCCTAATAATTGTCGGTTCCTAAGTAACTGTTCGAGATATTGCGAGTGTTGCTTTTCTTGCAAAGCCAAATCTCCCATTGATGACATTTTTTTTTCTTTTTATTGGTAGGTTATTGCTTTCACGACGTTGATTCTTATTCTGACCTCCGTCATAACGTTTTGTCTAGAGAGCGTCCCCTACTTTGAGGACAAGTCGTCGACGCAATATGATGTGCTTTATGTTACTGACATCATCTGTGTGGCTTGGTTTACCTTCGAGTTTGTCATTCGCTTTATCTTCTGCCCGAGGAAGCTCCAGTTTGTGAAGAAACCCATGAACTGGATCGATTTCGGTGCGATCTTGCCGTTTTATGTGAATCTCTTAATCAAATCATCCAACATCAAGACCATTGTTGTTCTCCGCGTCGTCAGACTCATTCGCGTGTTTCGCATCTTCAAGTTATCCAGGCATTCCTATGGGCTCCAGATCTTGGGACACACTCTAAGGTCGAGTTGTAGTGAGCTGTTTCTCTTAGCCTTCTTCTTAAGCATAGGTGTGGTGATATTCTCAAGTATTATTTATTACGCTGAGAAAGACATTGTGAACACTAAGTTCACGACAATTCCAGCCTCCTTCTGGTGGGCCGTGGTAACCATGACTACGCTCGGCTACGGAGATATGGCACCGGAATCTTGGGAAGGAAAGATAGTTGGTTCGTTTTGTGCGATCAGTGGTGTTCTCATGATTGCGCTTCCGGTTCCGGTTATCGTTAGCAACTTCTCACTGTATTACTCGCACGCCAAAGCCAGGCTCAAGTTGCCGAAGAGGAAAAGACCGCTGATCATTGGTGCGGCTAACGCGCTCAAGGTCGCTCAGTCGTTTGTGACTCAAAGCAGCCCTAACATTTCCACGGGAATGGCGGAGAGAGAGGATCAAAACGATTCGGACATGGACGACCCGCGCCCTACTAGTAGAGCACGTCGGTCGCCTCATACCAGTTTTCGCTCCACTCCACGTGGGAGTCCGATGCCGGGGCCAAGATTTCAAAACCCGAATACCATGATCACCCCTCCTTCGCCAAGAAACTCACTGCTACCATCGGCATATGTCCCGAGACGAAGCAGCTTGTTGGCGGTGCCGGAGGCGGAACGAATCGCGATTGAAATGGAAGAACGGAACCCTTCTTGTACAGTATTAGTCAGCGAAGACAACTCATCGGAGTTGGCTACCAAAGAGAGTGTATCCCAGCAGTCATCACCTTCAGGAATTAATTTTACTTTCAGGACCCCCGACCAAACTTCTGAAGTGTCCTCAGTGACAACGACGCTGAGTCCGAAAAGAAGCGAAAGCGAGAGCGCGAGCTCTGCAAATGGAATCAAAACCCCGCCGACCGGTCGTCAACGAAGCACCTCCTCCACGCAATCCCAGTCCCTGTCCATAGACTCGACGCAGGGATCACCCAAGTTAAATTCCCGCGGAAGGATGGGACGCCGTGGTAGCCTCTATGTAGTTGGGTTTACAGCAAAACACTGGCAGAATTTGGCTTTGAAGAAGAATAAAAAGACACAATCTGCACAGACAGAGGCAGGTTCGCGTAGAGCCTCTGCTACCTCTGCCGATAGGAGAAGCTCTGCCACCCAAGGCGCTGCTACGAGCAGTTCTCGAAGAAACAGTAGCAAAGACGCCGATACAAGTGCGCCAAGTTTTCCTGAAAAAGTCTCCTCTCAATTACATTTGCAGCTAACTGCTTTGAAAGAGTCGGAAACGACGACGGAGACACGGGGAACGCAAGCCACAACTCCCCGTCAGAATGTCAGAGAAAATGGTGACAATGGGATGTGCGATGGAGTTGTTAAGCGGAATGAAAAGAACACTCAAACGTCCAAGAAATTCCGAAGTCGATCAGATGATAACGCACGATTCAAAGCTTCGCCGGTAAACAAATTACGCGACGAGTATCGTAACGGAAAGTCAAGTGTAGTATCCGTCTCGATAGAGAGCAACGATTCCAGCGCGAGGATGTCCGACGACTCGTTAACGATTAACGATCGACACCGACAGCGCCGCGGATCCTCCCCGCTGGTCCGACAAAAGGCCGTATTTACTTTCGATATCCCCGATCAGCTGGTCCAGGTAGATCCGAGTGCTAGAGGTAACGTCCCGGCCACCGCGAAGCGTAAACCTGCGCCGGCACGTGCACAGGAGGAGAATGGATTTTCTCTCTCTCCGCTCATCGAGCACAGCGAACACGAGATTACAGAACAGAAAAAATACACGGACGCGAGGAGAAACTCTTGTATTCCAGCGATAACAATGGAACGGAAGAGTTCGAGCAAGCGAAGCAAGCCTGAAGGGCTACTGCCGAATGGATACGTTAATGGCTCGTATCACTATGATGACGAAGACAGGGTCATGGGCGAGAAACAGTTACCAACCATTTCTCACCACCCTTCAAAAGCGTTATATCAAGATGCAGAGTTGTCTCGAACTCGAAGTGAAACTTTTCCGCTTTATTTTGCTGTGGCGGGGGACAGGTACCCATCCGTCCCCTCGTCGAGTCACGCTCAACCGTTTTACACAGAAGCTAAATCTCTTGGCCAGTACGTCGCACCTCCTCACTTACAGGTGCCAGCGCGCTCGGATTCAAACTTACCGTCAATAAGTGAAGAACATGTGGTGTTTAACCACAAACAGCGTGGCATAGATGTGACTCGGTTAGGGGCACCAGCTATGTTGCCACGCCCCAATTCCCTGCCTAACTGGAGTGGAAGTCTCGTGCGGCCTGTTGTCATGCATCGACCTCATAGTGACTCCGTGTATATGCACCACAGCGAAGCATATCCCTTTCCCTCGGAGATGGCGAACTCGATGGGAAGTCTTCGACACTCCCAAGGAATTCAACAGTTCCCTTCCCCGCCTATTACCCAAGGAAATCATCGAGGTCACCCGGTACGGCGGAACACTTACAGTTCATTTGAAGAACAGAGGGCAATTCATGACGCGGCTGATCTGGCTCAGAGGCGCCAAGGGCAAGTACTGTACGTGCATGTACCACCAATTGATCCCATCAGTGGGTCAGTGGCTGCTATGAACTTGGCTAGCGATCGTGACAGAATACCAGAAGTGTCACGCAATGACAAGACGCGCTTGAAGGGAAATAGCTGTGAGCACATTGCGTCACCTTTCTTCTTTCAAAAGACGGAGTCTATTTCTAGTCCAGACTTACATTCAATGAACGGTTCTTTTGCGCCAGAGCGGCTCTCGTCCAATCTTTCCAACAGTTGGCATCAGTCTCCGGATCAAAGTGACAGGAAGAGACAGGCTGTTGACTTAAAAGTAAACGGGGTGAGTGCTAGTAATTCCAGTTACCCGTCGTATCCAAACAATCAAGCGCTCCAAACTCCCGATCATTCGGTTCCGAACAGTTTTCACGACGTTTCTACGGCCTACGGCTTGGAGCAGATCGAATTCGTGTCCACACTAGCTCAGTCCTCCTCGGATGGACGATCTCACGGGCAAACAGATGGTAGGGTGGCCGAACGCGAAAAAAGCGCGTCTTCACCGCGACTTGAACGATCAGACAGGGAGGTGATTTACAACGGGCATGAAGTGTTACAGCAGAGAGAGAGTTTAAGCAGGCCTGCAAGTGTTCCGGTGTTTAATCGTCAGCGCGCACGTGCTATGTTTGTTGGAGATTCGGGAATTGAAAGCGTGGGCAGTCTGAATTCTATAACTCACTCCGTGGAATCCGAAGTGGAAGGCGGCAGCAAAGAGCGTAAGGAAAGCGTGACATATCCGAGTAACGCAAGGATCGACATCTTGAATCCCATTCATGAAAGCGAGACGGAAATCTCCGATTCAGCTCCGGCGGACAGCGCAAGAAATACGGCAAAGACATTTCCGAGTTCCCCGAACGATGACTTAAACAAGAAAAAGCAGCTTGTAATTGGCACCATCAAAGTTAACGGTAGCCGCATGACGGATATGCTACGTAACCCGGATCTCTACGAATCCAGCTTAGTATAAAGTAATTCGCTGCCTCCTTTTCAATCTTGAACCCTAAGTCTTCGTTGTCCTTGACCTCTAGCCGAGAAATGAGATCGCTGGTCAATAGAAATGAAGATTCCGGCTGCTTGACCGCTGCTTGCTCCGTTACGGTGGAGTTGACATTAGAGTGTAATGCGCATGCGTATTAGTACATTTTATGTAAAAGCCGGCTCTTTTACGTTTCCTCCAAGCGAGAAAGAAAGAATGTACGCGAAGATAAGTTTTTTGTACTGAATGTTGATAATTACAGTTCTTGAAAAGTTGATTGGCGTCTGGCGTCTTTTAATGTAGCTAACTTGGAGAATGCGCGCCAACTAACCTGTCAGGGCATACCGCTCATTCCGGCCATTAAGGACCGATCGATTTTTGCAGGTCACCATGGCAACAGATTTAAGTCAAGCCTTCGTCAATTTTGGGCGAAAACTGAGTTTGCAGAAAAATTAGTGTCAACAGGAGCCATAATCGGGGACAAAGATCGTAAGCGCGCGCCATTTCTAGTATTTGGGCTAACTCGGTAGTTATTCTCCAGAGCCTCGTACTGAGGTCTATTGTTTTAGGCTGAATTTTAATATATCGAAATTTGTTCTATTCCCGAAATTTTTTATGCTTTTGGCCCACAACTCAATACGTTTATGTCTGTTTGAATTTTGACAGACAGTGTCGAATTTAGGTATGTCCCGCTTAATATCGCTGACTAAGTTGTGTTCCGCTGCTTCTTTAACTACGATATAAGTGCAGGCGCGGGATTACGTGATTTGCGCCGGAACTCACTTCGCACAGCGGATTTATATAACGGACGTTCGAACCTCTGCGGAGGGGAGAGGAATCAAGCTGTGTTTGCAAGTTGAACAAATGCTAAAAAGACCAAAAAATTCGGTGCGTCATCATAATTTTCTGCTAGTGGCACAGATCCTGGGAGACTACTACGTGAAAGGCGGAATATTCGTCGTCTCACAAAGGAGAACGAATGAAAACAAAAACACTCCTACATACGTTGCTGGTGGTTTAGATAGATCTGATTTTAAATCTTTAACATTTCTCTATAGCTGAAGGCATCCATAGTTTCAAAGCAATTTTGTAAAGAAATTTGAGCAGCTTCAGAGAAACTGCGTCAAGAAGATTATGACCCATACGGCGCCGCACGCTATGTCCTTGGAAAACCATAAGAAAAAAAAGGTCCCGTACGAGGGCCGTACGCGTCGAAGTGGTAGGGCCAAGAAAACGCCTACGACCCCGCAAAATTGATGCGAGAAAGAACTTTGTTGCTGCCAAATTTCGTTTTCTTCAAACCGATTGATGAAAGTGAACATTCTGACAGCGAATCTTACTATCCTGGCGAACTGTCCGACGCAAAACTACTTCAGTTGCCAACTTAGTCCGAAAGCACAGAAAGAAAGCCAACACTCCTCGCAAATGAAGAAGTTCCCAACTTCATCAGTAGCCAACAGCAAAATGGCCAAATAAATAAAATGTTGACTGAGTGAGATCGGCCTTGATGGGAAAATATTTGCATTGGCTCTCGGTCAGGACGCACGGACCTAGCCTGCGAACAGGCTCCTGGTGACCCCGATCACTTTGCTCTCCGAATTCTTCTGTTTCGCGCTCGCCAAAATTTTTTTCTGTTCTCGCCGGGAGCCTGTTCGCAGGCTAGTACTTGAGATGTGACACACAGAGACAACAAAGGGACATGATTTTAAGACGTGAGTGACTTTGGAAAGTCCACAGGTCAAAAACAGACCACTCGCGGAATAATTTTGTTGCCATAAAATGTTGATTATCTCCGTTAATTTGGTTTTTAAACTTTTAACTCTAAATCTAAATCTCACTCATAGAGTTAGAAATTTATATTGTGGTCTCTACGGCCAAATCTCGAGATATTTGTAGGCACAACCGATTGAACGCAAAGCGCTGAGTTCAGCGATATACTCCTAATCAAACCGCGAACGACACATGAACCAATCAGATCGTTTTCCACACCTTAAGCTTCCGGGAAAAACCACGTGGCCTTAAACATGTTGATCAGGGGTAGCAGAGAGATACTCTCTCCGATAATTCTTTCTTTCGGCTAGGGAGGCTTAAACATCGACCAGATTATACTAATCATTGATCCGTGCAAGGGAAATACGGAAGAATTCTTCTCAAAATATAGCTTTTTCAATTCGCTACGGATCACTTGCCGGGTGAACTTTTCGTTGTTTTTAAATCTCGCTTGATTTCTCTATGCACTGGTAGGCATCACCAAGGGCAGTCCAGTAAACAGTGGTAGACATTGGAACGTGTGCAAAAGAAACTAAGTACAGTATGTTTTTCTTGTTTCATGTATGCTATCCTTGGGTGCTTTCCATTGTGCCAGAGTGACTGGTGTCCTAGGCAAACCGGACCAACTGAGAGGAATGGCTCTTACTCTTTTCTATTGCTTTCCTTAATCCTCCACTCTAGTAGGCGACGAACCGGTTTGTCAAAATGGAACCGCAAATTTCGGTCCGACCGGTCCGATCGATCAAATAGACCACCTGCAGAGATGGTCCCGAATATTCCGGTCAGACCAAACCGAGTTTTTGGCTCAATTGAAAGCGCCCGTTGCGAGTTACAATCAGATAACACCGAGTCTAACTAATTTAAGCCAACATTAGACTACCGTTATGAATCGATTTAGCGCCCTCCTTCCAATAAGCGCCCCTTTCGAATAAGCGCCCCCTTCGAATGTGTTCTGATTAATAAGCGCTCCTATTCTAATTAATATTATAATATTACAGCGCTGTCAGAGCACGTATCAACGGAGGTTCATCCGTCTTTATTGCTCACATAGGTAATGCCCCATTACAAAAAAAGTGGTCTTCTTTTGAGTTTCTCAACTATTATGTCCGTGTAAGTGCATAATTCCTGCAAATGATCTCTTCAAATTTTGTGGCGATTGCTCGGCTGGTCGTTTCCAGGCAAGTCCGTTTTCCAGTCTCCTTGAACGTTGAACATTCGGTTGTTTCTCAAAACAGAACTAAGCACCCTGTCCCGAATAAGCCACCTGTCTC